TATTATTATTATTATTATTATTATTATTATTATTGATTCAGTTATTTATTTTAAGTATTTAAAATACGTCATCAAAAATGCGTCACCGTGGAAATTATTATGGGGATCTTGTTGAATGTAACGTGATATGAAGTACACGGAGTCACGCCGTTACAAATGTACTACGAGTGAAACGTCCTGATGTCTCGAACTCGCCCGTAGGACGCAACGGAGCGGCGAAGAGGCTGTACTTGCCGACTTGGAGATCCTCATTGAGATGGCGCGCTATGAAGGGCACGCTGGGGTAGAGGCGCAGAGTCTCCTTGATGACGCGCTCCAGGTACTTCATCTCGGCCAGGTCCTGCATGGAAGGGGGCCTGTCGGAGCCCTGGAAGATCGCCTGCAGCTCCTCCGCCACCTTCTCCTGGAAACGTGTACCAGGGTTTTGGCGTGAGACGTTTTATCCGGCGCTCGCGAATGAGGGAGTAAGACCCCGTGGTGGGGGTATGCGCCCATCGGCGTCCGCCATTACGGCCGCATTCGCCACCTCCTGGCGCAGCCTACATTCGATTAGAAACGAATAAATTACACATTCCGTTTGCAAAGCATGTAGAAGAACAGATGAGTAATAGTGTGTGTACGGCTGTATGCGTGTGTGTACGGCTGTATGTGTGTGTACTTGGCGCAACAGCCCCTGCCCCTCTCACACGTCACCCTGCCCCGCGGCTATGGGTGAAGGGGGTACGTGTGGTTAGCACGTAGACATCCCCACTCCGAATTCCGGTCATCTGAACCTGACAAGGAATTTTCGCATTGTTATCCAGAAACATATACTGGGACATTGCAAGGAAAACGCACACTATACTCTTGGCTCGACCGGGAATAGAACCCAGGGCCGCGTAGTGGCAAGCGAGCACGCTGACCAAGAGCTAGCTATGAGCCCATAAGTGATATTATCCGACCTAATTAATAAGACACAAAAGATTCAATTATCTTTAAAAATTCTAAATCATTGATACTAATGTATTTGAAGCACAGAAAATAATAAATTGTTAAAATGTCAAGGGTTCGTTTCGTAAGGTAAACATTTTGCTGAACGTTTCGCAAATATTTCATTATCACCTAATTTATTTTGAATTCTTGAAGTACGTCATAAAAATGCGCCACCGTGGAAATAATACTCATACGCGATACTAAAGTTCAAGGTGCAACACACCTTTATTTTACGGAAAGCTATAAAGTTAATTTAATTTAAATTTGTTGACAATTTCAGTATTTAGTCCGCGTCCAATTATTAGTAGTTATAACCCATCATTAGTGGTTCATGATAACTTGAAATTTAAACAGTGTGAAGCTTTAAGCGTAGATCATCGTTCATGGTTCTTACCTGAACGTCTGGATGTGAGCCTAGAAGAAACAGCGTCCAACAAATGCCGGCTGATGTTGTATCGTGGCCCTGTAACATTATGACGAATAAGTATGAACGTTTGAAATTTACCTGTATAAATTATGTTTATCAACACGCTCAAGTTTCAAAAAAGCAACAACAAATCCGCGGGAAGGTACGGAACTGAATGAGAGTAGGATAAGGGGAACTGATGCGATTGATCTAGGTCGTTGAAACATTGTTTAATCACTAATCAGACTAGCCCAAGGGTCAGGTTTTGTAGCTTCCATCATTTACATCGATATTTTATTGTGTCTTTAATGCCCTGCTTTGGACAGACTTCATCGATAACCCCGCATAATGTTTAGATCATTCAGAAAAGTACCCAACGTCTTCTTAGGCAATGTAAGGAGAGTGGACATTGGACAATAGAGCAATGAAATGTCGATGGCGAGTGATTCGTGGGTATACAATATAACGATTCGATGAAAGGGCGTGAGTAGAGTTAATGTCTAGTGAACAACTATCAGCGTTTTCAGTGAATACAGAGTGTGGAATTCAGGAGAGACGGGGTAGCAGGAAGGTGGTGCTTGGAGGATCTACTGTACGGAAACTGTGTTCCTTAGGTGACAGTTTCTCTCTCTCTCTCTTTCTCTCTCTCTTTCTCTCTCTTTCTCTCTCTCTTTCTCTCTCTTTCTCT